CGTGAAAGTGACAGATCAGGATTCTGGCCTCCGGAAATTTCGATTCCAACACGCGAATCTCGTTTAAGTTTTTGTCCACGACAATGACTCGTAGCAGATGAATCCGCGTAGGATGCGAGCGTTTGAAGTGTTCTACGGCCCTCTCCATATGCCAATCGCCGTTAGCCTCAATCAGCGACTGCTGAACGACTGTTCCCTCACCAAATTTGTTCATTGTCATGAACGTGAGAAGCTGATAGTTGTATCTGTAAATAATCATGTAAAATCCTGGTCAGTACATGATTAATCCTGGACATATCTCAACAACAAATCTGTTGGTCTTGTGACTGCAGTCGACGAGTAGAAGCTCACTGAACCTGCTGTAAACGCGACGCATGTGCTTTGACACGAGTGATAACACTCTCGTCTCTCCACAGGGCGTCTCGGACACAGTCGAAACGTTTTCAGGGTCAGCCACCTGGAAAACTGCAATCTCCCTTGCTGTAGCGTCGTTATCGTCCGCGTTCGAAACAGATGATGCATGGACTCTCGCCAGATTGTCCATGTGGCTCTGGATGACGTTTTCGTCATGCTCCAGCAGGTAATCGTAGATTCGTGACCTCTTGGCACCAACAGTCAGCATTCCTTCGACACGACACCAACCAGCGGGTCCATTACACCTCTAGAAGCGGGATAAGTCGCGAATGCAGCTGGAGACACTGGATGATTGTGAGCGAAATGCCCATTCTTCACCTGCAGCTCACCTCGAGCAAAATACCACTGCACCACGAAAGTGAATGGGCAATTGGTGAGGCGAATGTGCTGCCGCGGCCGACTTCCTTCACTGCGGGACTTCCTCTTTTTCCACCCGTGCGTGCAAATGTATGTACGCTGGTACGGGTCGAAGCCTTCGGGCACCAACTGCGACTCGTCTTCCCCCTTCTTCGTTTTCTTGAGTCTCTTGTTGCGCTCCGCCCTGGACATGGTCTCCTTCACAGGAATCACTTGCAGCGTCCTTTGGCAGTAGTCCTCGAAGTACGATTGCCAGTCCTCCCAGGTCGCGTGATATTTCACTGGCGGCTCCACAATCTGTACGTTCACCATCATCTTCCCCATCACCATCTGTTTCCGACACACGCCCTGCTTCTTCTTCTCGCCCAGCCTCTTCATTAATGTCATCGCCATCATTTCCTCCCATTTCGTCGTCGTTACTGCAGGTCTGACTGGGTTCACTCTCTCCAGCTTCCGAAGCGTTGTCTCCGCCGCCAACTAGAGTGTCTGGAGCCGTCGTCGCACCATTGCGTCTTTTCGCGGCGGTTGCATCAGCGCCAACCGCGTCCTGCGGCATCTTATCGGGAGACGGCTCAAATAGAAATGAGAAGCTTCCAAATTTATTAATTCGGAAATAACCGAAACCGTAATGAATTTTATTCTCGTTCCTGGACCAGGTCAGGATTATAATAGTGTACGTTTCCATGTAAATAATCATGGCCTGCAACGGTTTCGTTTTTTTATCTCTGCTTGGTAAAGGAAGCCTTTTCCATGTATAAGAAGCCGTTGGGTAGGTCTATCTATGGTTTATGATTGTGGCGACATTTTCAGGCGCGCGGCCCCCTCACTCTTGCCGGAACCTCTCCAGCAGCCACTACAGGGCCTTCGTCAACGAACGTAGCCGCGGTGTGCGCTCAGGCAGAGAATCTTATTAGATGTTGAGAATACAGTGTGAAAATATAGAACGCTCATTGCATTTTTCTTACTACTTCCAGCAATGTACTGGCAGTCATCGGTGCCTTTACCTCCATGCAAACACTCGATTCGGCGCCCGAACAGGGGATAATCTATGGAACACCGAACTTCGGAGCCCGGGGCATAATAAAAAAATCAGACGCAGTCACTAAGGCGACATGTTCACAAACACGACGTCGTTGATGATGCCAAAATAACTATAATGGCAACAGCCATTCCCATTTTCTGCTGAAACCACCACCACTCGTATAGTGCAAAGCCCAGCAAACATTGTGGAGCCCAGCCGTTCCACACTATCAGCCTTTCATACTCTCTCCCGGAGGCAAGCCCTGACCAGGAAGTATAACAAACACAGGTTAGAATCTGATCAACACAGTAACCCACCTCTCACAATACGCACGGACAGGCCAGGCTGCGGTGGCCTGCTGCCTGAT